GTACCTTGGTCGAAGTGCTGAAGGAGAGCCGGGCTGGAAGCGTGAGGACGGCGCCGCTGCCCAGGCCTCTGGCGTCCAGCGAGGCTGTGTAGCTGATCAGGAGGGCGTCTCCCACTGCTCCGGGAGAACGCGCGTGAGTCCAAGCGGGGCCTGCAAGCAGGCTGACCTCGCGCGGACGCCCAGCCTTTAGGACGGCCCTGCTGCTGGGCACCGCTACCCCCAGGCACCAGGAGCCCCTTTCTGCCCCTGGGTGACCGTGCTGGGTGCCCGCCCCAGTGGGGCCTGGGCAGGGGCGGCTCCCCGTGCGCGGGTGTGTTCCTGAGAACCCAGCACCTTTTAATCTGGTTTGGAGTCCGGACGGGGATCGACTTATTCCCAACAGTCCGGCCCACAGGGCAGGCTGGGGGCTTCTGACAGTGGCTCCTGCGGCCTGCACGCGGCCCGGGGCAGGGGCAGTGGACAGGGCCACCTTGGCTCCTGTGAGGTGCCCCCTCCCACATGACTTCTGCACACCCTTGCTGCCTCGTTACAGAAGAGCCCCCGTGCCCGACTCAAAGCCCTCGGCAGTGGCAGGGGTGCAAGTGTGCACTCAGGACACGTGTAGAGGGGCCCCCGCCTCCGCCCAAGGCCCCTGAGTCCGCACAGCGGATAGCTCTGAGCCCAGCCACGGCCTAGGGAATGCAGAGGGCTGGGTCTGGGGAGGCCCACACCTGGCCGGGGCGGGAAGGCCCACACCCAGCCGGAGCTGAGGTCCACACCTGTCCGGGGCAGGGAGGCCCACACCCGGCCGGGGCTGAGGCCCACACCTGGCCGGGGCGGGAAGGCCCACACCTGGCCGGGGCTGAGGTCCACACCTGTCCAGGGTAGGGAGGCCCACACTTGGCCGGGGCTGAGGTCCACACCCGGCCGGGGCGGAGGCTGCTGTCATCTGAACGGGGCAGCAGATGCCACAACGGTGATGCTTTCTTAGATGCGGTGCCTCCCCCACGCCCCCCCGAACCTGCTCTAAGGAGCCACGCCAGCCTTCCAGCGGTTTCTGGGGCACCGCCTCTGATGCCTCAAGATGGCTCCATGGCGAGGAGCAGCCGAGGGCCCCCGGCGACATGTTTGAGCACTGCGCTCCACACCCCAGAGTCCTTCCTCTCCCGCCCGCCCCTGGGGACCCACCGCTACCTTGCAGAAACTGCCTGCTGAACGCCTGGAGCCCGTCCGCCGTCCGGTTTCCCGGCCACCCCCCGACGTGGAGCCCGGTGATGTTGTCCAGCAGGAGCAGGTCGGAGAGGGCGGTCGCGGCAGGCGTCCGGGTGTTGTTCACGAGCAGCTGGACCTGCGCCGTCTGCGCGCCCTGGGGCCCGGACACCTGGGCAGGGAGGAGGCGGTGGGCACCCGGGGCTCAGGCTGAGGACAGACAAGTCTCCCACCGGGAGCCCCATCAGGTCTGACTTCAACAGCCCTGGGTCTGCCCCGCACCTGCCAGCCACGGCTCGGGGGCTGTTTCAGAGAACGCGGGGGATCTCCGAGCAGCCCGGAGACAGCCGCCAGGGCCGCGGCACCGACCGCCACGTGGCCGAGAGTCGCCCCGCTCAGCGACGTGGAAGCGTCAGCCCCAGAGCGCAGCCCGGGCCACCCCTCGCCCTCGGTCGCCAGGACCCCGGTAGGCAGCCCCTCTGGGTCCACCCGCGTGGCTTGGACAGCCCCTGACGGCCGGCCGGCGCAGCCTGGCCCCACCTGGCTCTGCAGCCTTGGCCTGCGCCTGTCTGATGGCCCCTCCCACCACCCCTGCACCCCGTCACCCAGCCGTGCAGGAGAGAGGCGGAGCTGGGGAGACAGGAACGCGGTGTAGGTGCTGCCGGGAGTGAGCCGCGGCACAGGTGACTGGAAACGGCCGCCTGCCCGCACAGGCCCCGGGTCACCTGCCCCGTGAGGAGCTGTACGCCTGGGCCCGGGCCTCAAGGCAGTGTAGCCACGTGGGGGGAGCGTGGCCTCTGGAGGGGCTGGGCTGAGCAGGTGAGCTCTGTCCCTGAGTGTCCAGACCTGGGCAGATCTTAGCAATCTGCCACACGATGTGGGCAACGGGCAAGGCTTTTCTCTGCGAGCACAAGCCGCCTGTGAAACTCACCACCGCACATTTCTGAAAAACCACTGTGTTCTCTGCGGCTCCCTGAGCCTCTCTCGTGCGCTCTCCATACTATGATCAAATAGAGAAAAGGAAGGTGATGACCAGGTGCGGTCACAGAATTCCCGAGGGCACGCCCTGAAGGGGGTGGAGAGGCCACGCGCGCTGGCACGGTGAGGGCGTAAGTCGTCACGAGCGCTCTGGCAGCGGCATTAGGGGGGTCCTCAGCCCTGGGGGGACAGCACACGGCCGTGCGGTGACAGGGTGCCTCCGGATTGGGGTGCACGGACTCTCGTCCCAGGGACGGGCAGCAGGGCTGGTGAGCAACGGTGTCTCGGAGCCTGCAGGAAAGGACGCTGCCCGCTGGCCGGGAGCCCGGCCCGCCCCGCGGCCCAGACCCTGTCTCTCTGCCGAGCCCGGCGAGGGGCGTCACACCGGGCGGGGCGTCACTGTTCTCCGTGGCACGCGCGTCTAAGAGACCCTCCCCGCTCTCCTGGGCTGGCCAGGAGGCTCGGGGTGACGCCGAGGGGGGCTGCGTGGCGGCGCACCGCTGAGCTCACCCACCGCTCACCCAGCAGCGGCGCCGTGACAGGCTGGGCGCAGAGCCCGAGCCGAGCCCCTTCCGAGCGGCAGCCGGACCGGCCCAGGCCACCCCTTCTCCTCACGCTCAGCTGCGGAGGCCACTGGCTCCTCGCAGAGGGAGCAGAGTCGCCCCGAAAGTAACTAGCTAGTGACGGGGAAGCTGCTCCTCCGGAGGCACGACAGCTGTGGCACCCCCAGCGCCCCCAGTCTGGATGCTGCCTCTAGGGGCGCGTGCACTCACCGGCCGCCGAGTTAGAGGGGCGTCTCTTTTAGACACGGTCTTCCTGGGCCACACGGGTATGAGGGCGCGTGCAGACGGGGCCCCCGGCCCGCGGGAGGCTGCAGAAGTTGGGGGTGGGTCAGAGGCGCCCCGTTCCCTGGTGCGATTCCTCCTAAAGGGGGTTTCCACTGCAAAAAGCACAGGAGCGGCACTTCGGGGGCTGGTCGGCAGGACACGGCTGCCAGGCGGTGGGCCCAGCCTCGCCGGGCACTGACAGCCACCGCCGTCCGCTGCAGGGAACCGAGGTGGGCCGACTGGAGGCCGGACTGGGGCCAGCCCGTGGCCCTACGAGACGCACCAGGGGCCGGGCCCGGCTTCCTCCCGGGCAAGTCACCCTGCCGCTGTCTGCCTCAGTTTACCTTGCCCTTGAGGAGAGGAGAGTAAGGCCTGCTCCCTGGGTCCTCTGCACCCTGTCTGCCGCTCTCAGGGCCCAGGGGGCGTCAGCACTCACCCTGCAGGCTGCTGACCACGGGGCTGGTGACCGCCTGGCCACACAGCGTGGAGGGATACCAGCTCGGCCACGCTGCGTCAGTGTATTCTGGGGGTTCACTTGCACGCTGTGTGACCGGGATGTGCTGGCTGGGTTGTCGGGAGACGTCCTGGTGGGAGCTGCCGGCTGCTGGTCAGCTGTGGACCAGGCCGGCCAACGGGGGTCTCTGGGCCTCAGTCTCCCCCCTGGGCCAGTGGTTAAAAGGCCATCAGACCCGGTGCCCAAGGTGCCCAAGGATCTGACTCAATCGTATATGGGGTCGGGGTCGGGCCAGGGATGCAAGCCGAGACCGTCGGGTCTTCACCGGGAGGCTGGGCCAGAGCCACCGGACGCCCTCCCGCTGTGGAAGTGCCAGCTGGGAGGCTCGGAAGCCCCTGCCAGGGCCGTCTCCCCACAGGCAGGAGGACGAGGGGCCGAGAGGAGACGGCAGAGGCCCCCGCACCGGGATCTCGGGTCCCGCATTTCCCTTACACGATCCAGCTCCGTTCTGCCTGAGGGAGCTGTGGGGGCTCTACCCCGTGGTTGGCTGAGTGAGGGCCCCAAAGGCGCCTGGCCCGGGGCTGGGTCCCGTGGATAGTTACCTTATACAGCACCCGGACCGCAAAGGGGCTTAAATCAAGGGCCCCACGGTGGCGGCTCCGTGGGGAGAGACACTTCCTCAAGCTGGACACCCTGAGCTGGGCTCGGGACACAGGCCCGGCCCGGGAGGCACCGAGCCTGCGACTGACCCAGCAGCCCCCGGAAAGTCACACGCGGGCGGGCACCCACCTTCTGCACTTTGTTCACCCTTTTGGGGGTGAACCAGACACCCCCCACCCTCAATTCTGTTCTGGCACAAAAGCTCTGGACACGTGGCCTCTGCACGCCGCAGAGCTGCCGGAGGGGGCACACCCTGGCCCCCCTCGGGGGTCAGCACCCCGGGAAGGGTCTATGGGGTCTGATTCTCCCTCATGGCCAAGCGATGCACAGAACACAGAAACGTACCTGCAGCCCCGCGGCGCGGGGTCTCCGCACAGGGCCGGGGCGCTCCGGGCAGCACCTACCGAGAGGCACAGCCGTTAACCGGAGCGGCTCAGAGGGGCGCCCTCAGCAGCCGCAAGGGGCGCCCGCAGGCTGGGCGGGAGCCTCCTGTCTCCCCCAGGCCAGCCGCCCCCAGATCCTGTGCACAGAAGCCGCTCCCCTCCGGACCTGGGCACTGAAGCCGCTCCCCTCCGGACCTGGGCACAGAAGCCGCTCCCCTTCCTAGGGGACAGCTCAGGACATGGGCACAGAAGCCGCTCCCCTCCGGACATGGGCACAGAAGCCGCTCCCCTCCTACGGGACAGCTCAGGACATGGGCACAGAAGCCGCTCCCCTCCGGACATGGGCACAGAAGCCGCTCCCCTCCTACGGGACAGCTCAGGACCTGGGCACAGAAGCCGCTCCCCTCCTACGGGACAGCTCAGGACCTGGGCACAG